TTGAAATGTCATCTGCTATTGTCATTTTCTCTCCCATGAACATCTGAGTAAATATTTCTTTTTTTCTTTTTTGGGGTGGAGACAGGGTCTCACTCTGTTGCCCAGGCTAGATCGCAGTGGCATCATCACAGCTCACTGCAACTTCAAACTTCTGGGCTCAAGTCTGCCCCAGCCTCCTAGTAGTTGGGACTACAGGCATGGCCATCAAAAAATTTTTTTGTAGAGTTGGAGGTCTTGCTGTGTTGCCAAGATTAGTCTCAAACTGCTGGCTTCAAGTGATCCTCCTGCCTCAGTCCTTCCAAAGTGCTAGATTACAAGCATGAGCCTACTGCGCCCAGCCCCATCTGAGTAAATATTTCTAGGTAGGAGGGAATATCAAAAACAATTTTCAAGCTGGGCATGGTGCTCATGCCTGTAATCCTAGACTCTGCAAGGCTGAGGGGGGCGGATCATTTGAGCTCAGGAGTTGGAGACCAGCATGAGCAAAAGTGAGACCTGTCTCTACTAAAAAAATAGAAAGAAATTAATTGACAACTAAAAATACATATATATATAAAATTAGCCGGGCATGGTGGCCATGCCTATAGTCCCAGCTACTTAGAGACTGAGGCAGTAGGATTGCTTGAATCCAGGAGTTTGAGGTTGCTGTGAGCTAAGCTGATGCCATGACACTCTAGCCCCGGGCAACAGAGTGAGACTCTGTCTCAAAAAACCCCAAAAAACAAAGAACAATTTTAATAGTCTCTACTTAATAGGCTTCTTTAGTGTTTTGGGCTTTTTGTTTTTTTACAAAGTACCATTGCATAAATGCTCAGGAGCAGTTAAAAAAAGTACTTGTGATTCAGTCCACATCAAAAAAAATATATATAGGGCGGGCGTGGTGGCTCACGTCTTTTAATCTAGCACTCTGGGAGGCCAAGCGGGGGATTTGCTCAAGGTCAGGAGTTCGAAAGCAGCCTGAGCAAGAGTGAGACCCCGTCTCTACTATAAATAGAAAGAATTAATTGGCAACTAATATTATATAGAAGAAATTAGCTGGGCATGGTGGCGCATGCCTGTAGTGCCCAGCTACTTGGGAGGCTGAGGCAGAAGTATTTGCTTGAGCCAGGAGTGTGAGGTTGCTGTGAGCTATAGGCTGATGCCACAGCACTCACTCTAGCCTGGCAACAAAGTGAGTTCTGTCTCAAAAAAAAAAGAAAAAAAATATATATACATACACACATATATTTTTTAAGGTACAGGGTCTCACTCTATCACCCAGGGTAGAGTGCAGTGGTGTGATCATAGCTCACTGCAGCCTTGAATTTCTAGCTCAAGCAATCCTCCTGCCTTAGCCTCTCAAAGTGCTTGACACAGGTGTGCACCACCATGCCCAGCTAATTTTTAAAAATTTCTTGTAAAGATGAGGCTCTCATTATGTAGTCCAGGCTGGTCTTGAACATTCTGTCTTTAAACATCAATCCTCTCACCTCCATTCTTTCCAAAGTTCTGGATTATAGGCATGAGCCACTATGCCTGGCCCATATAGAACATAATCTGTGACAGAGTTCAGAGCTGTAGTCAGCCTATGATCATGCACTGCACTGCAGCCTAGATGACAGAATAAGACTGTCTCTCCAAAGGAAAAGAATATAAGAAAATAATCATGACTGATTTGAAAAATGATGTGCTGCATATTAAAGTGGTATACAAACATTATTTTAATTGTCTGATAATACTCTAAGAGGTAGGTAGTAGTTTCTTTTAAATAAGAAGCTGATTCTCTGTCCAGGATTGGAGAGTTGATTTATATGCACCTATGGAGTAGGAAGCAACTTGCGCCAAAACTGTCCAAACCTTCCAGCTCAGCCTGCTATGTTTCCAGCTTAAGTTCTCCTGCTTTGTGTTACTGTCTCCAATTTCCACTAGCATTTAAATGTTCAAATTACATGGTGCAGACTATATTTTATTGTTTAATATATAGTGTTTTCTATTTGTTTTACATTTATTATTCTTATTCTCCCCACCTATAATCATAGAGTTAGAGAGGCATCTTAGAAATTATCTTATATCAAACTCTAATTTATAATGAGGAAGATGAAGATCCAGAAAGTTTGTGAGTTGTCTTTTCTTATAGTTGGTTACTGGCAAAACTGGAACTTAAAACAAGTTTACTAACATGTAGCCCACATGTTTCTTAAAAATGTCATTCTTTATAACTCCTTATTTTGGAAAACATGGAGATCAAAGCCTAGGGACTCAAAAATAATTGTAGTTATCAGAACCATTAGTTTCAAATCAAATTTAATAAGGAACTCTCTGTAAGTTTATATTTTATAGTATTCTAGAAATGATTCTGATACCTTAATCTAGCCACATAGTATTTCTAATTTAAATTCTCTATTTTATATTAATGTCCTCTGAACAAACATATTCCCAGCTTATGTGCATGACATTTTAGGGAAAAAAACATCCATGTCCCTGTTTTTTTTTTAAATCTATGGGTGGTAGAAGTGGGTCTGGAACCTGAGATCACCAAACAGACAATGAGATAGAAAATCCTTGGCTGACAAATTATTTTTACAGTATCATTAAGTTATTTGAAAATCAATGCCACTCTTAAATTAATTCCCCTAATTTTCACATGCTTAAATGTGATGACATGATAAACTAGACAGAAGTTGATTTTCTCTTAAATAAATATTGTAAACCCTAGATTAATAAATAGCACCAGCAAAGCAAACATTAAAAGCACTATTACTCTTCAACATTATTTGTATCTTATTTTCTATAGAATCTGAGCAAAAATATTCCATTTCCAGGTTTAATTTATGTAGTTGGGGTATCAGCAATGAAGGAATAGAGCTTCGTTCTTGTCGAAGTTTATGATCACTTTCTAAGCGTTGGTCTACTTCCTCCAATGGGAACCAGAAGGAGCATATCTGGGTGTGGCTGCACTCAATGACTGCATCTATTCTATTGGAGGGTGGAATGAGACACAAGATGCTCTTCATACTGTAGAAAAATATTCTTTGAAGAGGTAGGTTGGATGATTTCAAATATTTATATCCTGGTATTCTTGAATGTCCTTTAAGATTGTTGTGATATACTCTTTAATTCCATAATATTGATCATTTGTGGTTTTTTCTCTTCTTTTTCTTTTCAAAGAATCATCTTTTGGTGCTGTTGATTTTTTCTATCATTGTCCATTTTGTGTTTTATCAATATCTATTCTTATTTTCTTCTTTTTCTAATTTGTTTTGGGGTTAGTTTGCTCTTCTTTTCTAGATTCATAAAGTATAAACTTAGATGATTTGATTAGCCTTCTTTTTTACAATATATAACTATAATTTTCTTCAAGTACTGTTTTAAATGTATCCCACATTTTGATATGTTGTGTGTGTGTGTTTTTTTTTTTTTTTTGAGACGAGTCTCGCTTTGTTGCCCCAGGCTAGAGTGAGTGCCGTGGCGTCAGCCTAGCTCACAGCAACCTCAAACTCTGGCGTGAGCGATCCTTCTGCCTCAGCCTCCCTGGTGCTGGGATACAGGCATGTGCCACCATGCTCCGGCTAATTTATCTCTTTTAGGCTGGTTTCGAACTCCTGACCTTGAGTGATCTGCCCACCTCGGCCTCCCAGAGTGCTAGGATTACAGGCGTGAGCCACTACGCCCAGCCCAAAACTCTCTAATTCTTGAAATTAAAAGTGATTTTTCAGGCCGGGCACAGTGGCTCACGCCTGTAATCCTAGCACTCTGGGAGGCTGAGGCTGGCAGATCGCTCGAGGTCAGGAGTTCAAAACCAGCCTGAGCAAGAGTGAGACCCTGTCTCTACTATAAATAGAAAGAAATTAATTGGCCAACTAATATACATAGAAAAAATTAGCCGGGCATGGTGGCACATGCCTGTAGTCCCAGCCACTCAGGAGGCTGAGGCAGCAGGACTGCTTGAGCCCAGGAGTGTGAGGTTGCTGTGAGCTAGGCTGACACTATGGCACTCACTCTAACCTGGGCAACAAAGCGAGACTCTGTCTCAAAAAAAAAAAAAAAAAGTGATTTTTCCTATAATTTGAGATATAACTGCAAAATGAACATATTTATGGAAGTAATCAAATATAATGGATTAAATTTACACTGGGGTAACTGATATTTTTTCCATAATAAGCTTTGAGCAGGAGAGGACACTGAGTCCCATACAGTAAATTGAAGAAAGAGTGATAAAGAGAAAATAGCGGATGCTGAGACTGAGGGCTATGTCAAGTTACAGTTTTCCCTAGAACAACCTTGTTTGTAACATTTGTTACAGAGATAATCAAAGAAGTAGAATAACTTACTCAAAATTATTTACTGACTCTGCAATAATGAAAATAATCTAGTGCAGAACTGCCTTTTGGTATCTTTAATTTTTTGATATGTACTTTCTTATATTAGACATAATTAGGCCACTATACAGAATGGAAGGAATGTTATATATTTAATTAAAATCATGAGATTTAACTAGTCAGCTAAAGTGCTTCATTGCACATCTCATCTATATTTTATCTCCAATAATACAATTTTGGAATAAGAGTTAAAAGAGCTGATGAGTGCATCTACAGCATACTCCAGAGTCTCATGATGACAGGCCTTGCACTGGCTGAGAATGACCTGCAGGAAAATATGAGCAACCAGCAGCTTGGCTGGTTAGGGGTCTACTGCCTGCCCAGGAACTGCAGAGATGTGCTTGCTCCACCAGCCCCAGCCCCATAGGTGCTCAGTTCTTCCTGTGGCATCTCTTATGTGAGTGTGTCCCCAGGATGCACAGCCCAGGGGCAATCCCTCTGTCTACATGCCCCTGCCCACTCTCTCTCCCAAGATCTTGCCCAGTTCCCTTTCCCATGCCCCTGGCAGCTCCCAGAGTGTGCAGATTAAAGCAGGTAGGTTAAAAACAAAAAGAATTTAAAGAGCTAAAAAGAGGGAAGGAACATCTCTAAAATAATCAGAACATAAGAATTTAAATAATATTAGCTATCGTTAAACTGAACAGCATAATTACCCAAAGCATAGATAGCCCCGTAACACACACACACTCCTAAACCACAGCGGGGATGATTCATTGAAGCTACAGTTGTCCACTGTTTTGTAACTGGATCATAGCATTCAGTACAGTCAAAAATCATTGAATCCTTTTCACCTGAGTTAAATAAAAGAGACACACGTCAGAAGGTTTAGTAAAAAATGCTAACAGACTAGCACCATAATATAATAATACCATATTCAATAGCACTCTCTATTGTTAGAAATTCAATTATGTCTGATTTTATAATATTCATTAAAATTCATTTTCCTGGCAAGCATTATTTTGAATCTGTAGCACTGTCATTTATGAAAGCCCACTTATGAAACAAAGGCACAATTTTCCTATCATCTATTTGTAATTCTACCACCCAAAGAACCTATGTAATTTTCTTTTCTTTTCGTTTTTTTCCCTATTTTCAGTAGAGACGAGGTCTTGTGCTTGTTCAAGCTGGTCTCAAAATCCTGAGCTCAAGTGATCCTCCCACCTTGGCCTCTCAGAGTGCTAGGATTACAGGTATTAGCCACCATACCCAGCCCCATACAATTTGTATTTTAATACTTCTATATTTTTTCATGTATTAGTCTAGGTAGCTGGCCCTGGTATAATTTAAGGGTTTGGGTTTTTTTATTTGTTTTTTAGACAGAGTCTCACTCTGTTGCCTGGGCTAGAGTCCAGTGGCAGTGGTATCATCATAGCTCACTGCAACCTCAAACGCCTGGACTCATGCGATCCTTCTGCCTCAGACTTTTGAGTAGCTAGGACTACAGTTGCATGCCACTTTTTTATTGCTATATTGCTCAGGCTGGTCTTGAACTCCTGGCCCCAAGCGATTCACTTGAGGCCAGGAATTTGATGTGACAGTGAGCTACGATCATGCCACTGTACTCCAGCCTGGGCAACAGAACAAAACCCCATATCTAAATAAATATAAATAAAAAAAGATACCAGAACGACAGTGAAAGATAAAGCAGCAGAGTAGAAGATATTTGCAACACGTATAACTTTATTATGGCCTAGAATCCTGAATATATACAAAATTCCTACTGTGTAGAAAATAGTTAACATAGCAGGCCTGAAACTGCCTATCCTTAGAAAGGCCTGCTTGCAAAGTTGATCCTTGGCTGGAATCTGAGAATATGGCTAGTAAACAGTTCCCTGCACTGATATAAAATTTTCTCAAAAAGGTAAGAGTGGCTCACTGTGCTGAAAATGTATACAAACAATATGGTTTATGCTAAATACATGCTTTCCTTGTGAGGGTCTGAAATTTTGGGATGTGCTAGGAAGAAGGAGCCTTCCTAGCACATACCAGGCCAGTCCCCAAATAAAAACCTAGAGCATTGAGCTTCCCTGGTAGACAACACTTTGCACATGTTGTCACAACTAATTGTATAGTAATTAAGCATGTCCTGTGTGACTCCACTGGGTGAGGACTGCTGGAAGCTTTCAATCGGTTTTTTCCAGACTTTACCACATGTGCCTTTTCCTTTTTCTGATTTTGTTTTTTATCCTTTCACTAAAAGAAATCTTAGCTGTGGAAACAATTATATGCTAAGTCTTATAGGTCCTTTTAGCAAATCTCTAAACCTGGGAGTGGTCTTAGGGACCCACAACATACCTACAAATCAATAAAAAAGATAATCTTTAAATGGCCCAAAGACCTAAAAAGCCACTTCTTGAAAGAAGAAACCCCAAATGGTCTGAAAACAATGAAAAAGTGCTCAGTGTAATTATTTATCAGGGAAACACAAATTGAAACCATAATGAGATATCACTGTATCTTTACGAATAGGCAAAAATTGAATAGTCTGACAGTACCAAGAGTTGGCAAAAATATGGATGAAGTGCAAAACAATGCAGCCACTTTTGAAAAGAGTTTGGCATTATCTATTAAAAGGAAAGATTTGAATACATTATGACCTAACTCCTAGCTACTGATATCACTGGTTCTACTCCTAGGTATACATCCTAGAAAAATTCATGCACAGGGTACCTGTTGATACATACAAAAATTTTGATAGCAGCATTGTTGTTAATAGTCAGAAGATGGAAATAATCCAAATGTTTACCAATTATTTAGAATGGCTAAGTCAAGTAAGTAACTTAAAACAATCTCTTATCTTATAATAATAGAATGAAAACATAAATTTTAGTAGACTCCATGGTATATAATAGGAAACTGTAATGACTACATTAAAAATAACATGAATACATCTTAGAAACATAGTATTGGAAAAAATAGAGAATATTTATATTAAATATAATTCATCTAGATAGACTTCAAAAATAGGTATAAACTTAAGCATATTGCTTAAGGAAGTCTATGTAGGAGGTAAAAAGTATAAAGAAACAAAGGGAAATGATTATCCTAAAAGTTTCTTCAATTATCTATCAAACTGTAGATATATTTAAGCATTTCCCTATAAGTATTAATATTTTAAACATAAACTTTATGATTTAATGTAATCAACAATTATGTTTACTGAGCACTATAAAGTGCTTATTGATCACCTAATATGTGCCAGATAAAGAAAAGCTCAAAAAATTGTTCTCTCTACAATGGTCTTTGTTAGGAAAATTAAAAAAAAGAAAAAAAAAAAATTGTTCTGGTGATTTAGGATCACAACCACCTGGACAGGCAAGACTCAATCAACAGGCTGGGGCCAGGCATGGTGGCTCACACCTGTAATCTTAGCACTTTGGAAGGCCAAGGCAGGAGGACTGCTTGAAGCTAGGAGTTTAAAGTTGTTGTAAACTATGATGACACCACTGCACTCTAGCCTGGGCAACAGAGCAAGACCCTGTCTCAAAAAAGAAAAAAAAGATGAATCAATCAGAAAACACTATTCAGTTAAATAGTGAAATATTATCACACTGTCCACTACATTGGGATTCCTGGGAAGATAACATGATTTGATCCACTAAGTTCAGTCAAGATAGAGATATAAACAAACTTAGTGCTGATGGACTTCTTACCTATGCTTAAGAAAGCACAACAGCAAGCTCATCATAGATCCCAATTTTTAAATAACCACATTTATCTGCCATTGAAGATATCATAAACATGAGTTCAACAATAAGAGCAAAGTTAACATTTTCTGTTGAAGATGTAGCTACCATTGAGTATTCAAATAGTTTTCGTGCCATCCTTAAAAAAGGTTTTTTTTTTTTTTTTTTTTTTTTAGACAGAGTCTCGCTTTCTTGCCTAGGCTAGAGTGAGTGCCGTGGCATCAGCTTAGCTCACAGCAACCTCAAACTCCTGGGCTCAAGTGATCCTCCTGCCTCAGCCTCCCGAGTAGCTGGGACTACAGGCACAAGCCACCATGCCCGGCTGATTTTTATATTATATATATTAGTTGGCCAATTAATTTCTTTCTATTTTTATGGTAGAGACGGGGTCTCGCTTAGGCTGGTTTTGAACTCCTGACCTTGAGCAATCCGCCCGCCTCGGCCTCCCAGAGTGCTAGGATTACAGGCGTGAGCCACCGCGCCCGGCCAAAAAGGTATTTTTTGAGACAGGGTCTTGCTCTGTCACCCAGGCTCTGTCTCACTGCAACGCCAAACTCCTGGGCTCAAGTGATGCTCGTGCCCCAGCCTCCGACTAGCTGGGACTACAGGCATGCACCATCACACCTGGCTAATTTTTCTTTTTCTTTTTTGAAACAGAGTCTCACTTTGTTGTCCAGGCTAGAGTGAGTGCCATGGCGTCAGCCTAGCTCACAGCAACCTCAATATCCTGGGCTCAAGCAATCCTTCTGCCTCAGCCTCCCGAGTAGCTGGGACTATAGGCATGTGCCACCATGCCCGGCTAATTTTTTGTATATATATTTTTAGTTGGCCAATTAATTTCTTTCTATTTTTAGTAGAGACGGCAGTCTCGCTCTTGCTCAGGCTGGTTTTGAACTCCTGACCTCGAGCAATCTGCCCTCCTCGGCCTCCCAGGGTGCTAGGATTACAGTTGTGAGCCACCATACCCAGCCAATAACTGACAAAATTGAAGCAATTAAACTAGAACACATATAACTTTTCCTAGAGAAAGGCAAGAAAGACAATGAGGCTAAAACATAATGAGGGGAGAAGGGTAGAAAGTAAGATTTGACACAAAGACAGAAATAGAAAGTGAGATTTGACACAGAGAAACCATATCATGTAAGGGCTTCGTGTTACTGAAAGCTCAGCACTGGTCCCGGAGGCCATATCAGAAGGATGAGGACAAGTGGTTTAAGAAGAAGGAAAGAGGAGTTTATTAATTTGCCAGCAGTGAGGAGGTTGGCAGACTCCTGTCTCAAAGTACCAATATCCTGCCTCTAAGCAGAAGTACAGAGCTTTTAAAGATTCTGATTAATTCTTATCTTCAGCTAAAATAATCTCATGACCTCCACCGACAATTCCCTTGAGCCATCTCCTGTGGCACAAAGAACAAAAGACACTCCCCTGCCCCTCCCAACGCTAGCCAGAGACAGGGATGTAGATTTTAGATCTCAAAAAAAGATAAGGGGGTTTTGAAGTAACAGAAAACATGTTTACCCGTTTTTTTTTTGTTTTGTTTTGTTTTTGAGACAGAGTCTCACTTTGTTGCCCAGGCTAGAGTGAGTGCCGTGGCGTCAGCCTAGCTCACAGCAACCTCAATCTCCGGGGCTCAGCGATCCTACTGCCTCAGCCTCCCGAGTAGCTGGGACTACAGGCATGCGCCACCATGCCCGGCTAATTTTTTTGTATATATATTTTTAGTTGGTCAATTAATTTATTTCTATTTTTGGTAGAGACGGGGTCTCGCTCAGGCTGGTTTTGAACTCCTGACCATGAGCAATCCGCCCGCCTCGGCCTCCCAAAGTGCTAGGATTACAGGCGTGAGCCACTGCGCCCGGCCTTTACCCGTTTTTTTTTCAGGCCATTTTCTCTGTTACATCTGTAAGCTATGATGAAGACTGGATTTTATCTTAAGGGTGAACAGAAGGCAATGACATGATCAAACGTAAATTTTAGATTATTTCAGGCCACAGTGTACAGAACAGACTTTAGGGAAATAAAAATAGAAGTAAGAGATTAGAGTATTACAGTGGTCAGGCAGATACATCTGCATATATATAGATAGATTGGATGTAGAATGTGAA